TATATATATATATATATATATATATATATATATATATACAGTATATAAACAACATCTAAAGGACATAACATATATTCACATCTCAAAATGTGAAAATAACTTTAAACTAGAGGAAATATTAGAAGGTTGTTTTTTTTGTTTTTTTGCTGTCAATCATTTTAGGCTGAAATCTGTCAATATATCTCAATGTAAAACAACAGATAACTGCTCTTTAGATTGAATTTAACAACTAACTGTAGCTCAATAATCATTTTCATTCTAATTATTATAACCCTGTTAACATTTAAAGGAAAAACTTACTTGCTGGCTGCTTGCTGGTATGATGCGAACCTCTCTTTTTGTGGATGGAAATGAAGATGTCTCCTTAAAATTCCAGAGCTTTATCTATTTCCATATGCAAATTTTAAACTTGAGGTAAATCTGTGAAGGTGCTTTATGGTACTGTACCTTAAAATAATTGTGTAAGGTCTTGCAAAAGCAGGTATAGTTTTAAAACAAGATTTTGTTTTTACTGCTTCTCAGAACATATTCATATTAAGCATATTAACAAGCTTAATTGTATCAATGACGAAATAGCAAAGCTTGATTCTGATTATGTCTCCCAACAAAGCAAACATTCAAACTATTCACATTTTTTTGGTATACTGAACACAGATATTATGCCTAAAAAGAAGGGTTTGTTGACACTCTGTGAACACACTGTTTATATTTAGCATAAGCTGTTTTGTCTAGCTATGGCGACAATTTACATATCAGTTTTATTTCAGCCTAAGGCATTTGAAATTGATGAAAACATAAATTCAGATATTTTTTTTAATTCATCATTACCAAGTTGCTTGTAGTCATGTAATGTGTTTTTGTAAAACTAATCAAGATTCTATTCACTCATTCAAAACACCAATTCACAACATATCATCTCAAGAAAGGACACAGCCACTGAAATCAAGCACACCCAGGCTGTCTGCAACCCAGTCTCATGGGAAAATGTACCCCCACTACGTTGGTCCACACTGCAAAACGTAGTGGGGGTACATTTTCCCATGAGACTGGGTTGCTGTCTGCCCCACAGACTAAAACTAGTAGTTGGTTCCACAGGAGGGGAGCCTGATAACTAAAAGATCTGGCTCCCATTCTACTTTTAGAAATTCTAGGAACCTGCAGATTGTGCTCTGTTAAGAATATAATGTACAATCAGATCTGTGATATAAGATGTATATAATATAAGCGTTATATGTGAGAAGGAGGATTTTAAATAATATTCTGGATTTAACAGGACACTGTTGAAAACTGTCATGGCTTCCCCGGGTCTGTTGATTCGCATGCAGGTCACTTAGATGGAATGAAGTAAAGAATGCTGGACAGCAAAGCTTCGATTCGCCTTTGCAAAGGAGAGAGCAGCAGCAGCATCTGCGAACAGTTAATCTGTTAATCTATGTGAGTGGATCTATATGTGGAAAACTGGGCAGGAGCCATCCTGCTACTGGTCTTGGAAGAGAGCAGTGATCCTCTCCAACATGTAAAAAAGTTCAATGTTAGGACAAGTCCATCAGGTTACCCTCTGTTACCACAGCAGCTTTGAACCATAAGAGTCTTGGGGCCCAGGTGTCCCCACACCCCCTGAAGGATAAGTCTTTACCTGTGTCATCAGCAGTATCACATAGAGGTAGAAGGAAAAAAAAGGTGTTCCTCCCTTCAAGAGGAAATGTCATATTGAATTGTTCATCTGCTCAGAGCACAGGATTGTACTCTGACTTGCTGCTGCGTTCTCAAAACTGGGCAATTCACAGTTCCTGAAAATGCTGAATTCGACTCCACCTCCTCTATGCAAAAAGTCCAGCTATAGCCCATTTAAAATATTCTCCAAAAAAATGATCAGATGAAAAAACAAACAACAACGAAAATTCCGTTCTAACATCCCCAGAACCAGTCAATAGTTTGTTGCCATATCTGGACCCCTGACCAGATCCAAGGAAACATAATCTCCTCTTATATGTGTTATCTCCAATAAACTGAAGTGTTCTCATTGCTTCGTGCATGAAATGTATGCTTGCCCATCCCAAAATATAGTATCCCCAAAATATATAGCTCCTGTAATGCTATCTTTAAATCAACTCTCAGTTAAAAAATGGTGAGGTTTTAGATACTGGGCCTGATATTGAATTGCCATAAGCACCATTAGGAGTCATCAGTATTGCTTTTATTGAAAGATATCATCATTTGCTTTAACACTAGATGTCCCGGAGAATTTCAGTTTTCCTGCAAGCCCCCCTCCCCTTTTCAAGTTTGTGTATTCACTCTACCTTGCTAACTGTCCTTGTACCTTCCCCTGCAACATCAAACCTTTTTGCAGGAATATCTTGATAAGTCATAACTAAACCTTTTATTTAGGCAAACCTATTGATCAACCGGATATCATATGGGTCCTAGTTCCTGAGCTGAGAATAGGTTATAATCATGCTTTTCCAACAAGGCCTATTTATATTGTGCAATCACCAACAAACTCATTTATATTGCAAAGCTCACTATGTGAAAGAAAGAAAAACTTAGAGAATAATTGTATTTTGTCTGTTCTCACCTTTTCATGTCTTTCAACATTTCAGCTTAAAAAATGACAAACAGTATGATTTCAGTATTGGAGTAACATTTATTTCACCCAAGGAAAAGCACTACATATGAAGCTACAATTGTCCTATTTAGCAGTTTCCACAAACCCAAGGTGAGTCCTTCCTGCATTTGTGACAGGTATACTTTATGCAGTGCACACAACGCTCAGTGCTGTGGTTCCTGTTGCAGAGATTGCACACCTGGCCTGCTTATAATAACAATGAAAAAATCTAAAAAATAAAGTTTAGCACATTTTTCCAAAGTAAGGGTTGAGGTTATGAGGTTATCTATGTGTGATACATGTTTGGAGGCACTACAATGATCTATAGTGTAGTCATTGCTCATTTTATACTTATTCCAATAATAAAATAGAGGTGGCATTTGTCATTT